AGGTCATCTGGGTATAAATCACAGATTCGCATAAAAGATGGCACAACTCATGCAGAGACTCTTACTGCTTGGGTATTTTATTCCTGGGCACAGATGTAAGTTTTTCCTTTTGTGGATTCTAGAATCACTGAGAGCGTTTCCTACCAAATGACCAACTGCTTTGGGAAATATTTCTTAAGCTTTACTCATGAGCAGGTGCAATGTCTTGCACAAAGACTTCCCCTAAGTGTTTGCTGATGTGAGTGCTGAGTTCATTTATAATGCCCATGTGGAGTTTACGTGTTATCTTTCATTTCACCCAGATAGAAATCTGAGGGTAAAGAATGCTGTAGAATGCTCCATTGTACTTACCATGTGTGGGGGGGAAAAAAAGCAATCCAACTTTTTTCCTACTGAGCATTTGAATGAAAAAAAATGAGGTATTATATAAACGCTTAAGTAGATTTAACTATTATTGGGTGTTGCCTTGTTTGTACTTTGTTTATTGGGGTACTGGGTTTGAAATGGTAGGCAGGCAGTTTACCATTTGAGTCATGCCCCCAGCTATGATTTTGTACTTCGTATGTGTAAGTGGAGTCTGACAATACTTTCATGTGTCTCTCAACTTTCATTTGGCATGTTTGTGAGGTTTGCCCTGGCTATCGTATTTGAAAGTAGATTGCTCATTCTTAATGGCGTTGACTGCATTCTGTTTCAGGAATGTACCACCAATTATCCACTTTGCTGTGGTAGAACATTTGGAACATTTCCAGCTTGGGAGTTATTATGAATAGTGTTGCACTGAGCAGTTTAATATGTTTTCTGGCATGCATCTGATACTGGTATATATTTCTGAGTGGAATTGCTGGGCTAGAGGGTTTTTATATGTGTAACTTTAATAGACACTGCTAAATAGTTTTCAAAAAATGTTCTTCTAAATTCAATTAATCCTTCCAAAGATGGTATTTCAGCACAAGTTATTCAAAGAAGTATTAAGGTCCCTCAGACCAGGTCCATTTTGTCACTAAATTGTTATATACCCTGGACAAAAAAGAAGTCTCAGGTTACTCAGCCATAAAATCGGCACGGGAAGCCAGGCACCAGTGGCTCATCCCTGTAACCCTAGCTATACTCAGGAGTCTAAGATGTGAGGATCACAGTTTGAAACCAGCCTCAGTAGGAAAGTCTGTGAGATTCTTATCTCCAGCAAAAAGCCACAGTGTGGCTCAAGTGGTAGAGCACTAGCCTTGAGCAGAGTAGCAAAGGGACAGCTTAAACCTGAGTGTAAATCCTAGGACTGATACACATGTATGTGCACAGATATGTGAACATGCGTGCGCGTGTACACACACATACACAAAATCAGCACAGGATCCTAAGACCTTCCTAAACATTTATGAGAATTAATTGAGATATTATTTTAATGCATTTGCAACAGTGGCTGGCCCACAGTAATTGCTTAGCCTATTTTACAGCATCATTAATCATTCATTAGCGATTGGAACAAGCAAAATGGTGAATATGAGTAATATAATCCACAAACAAATTTAATTCTCTGATGGAAGAAAACTATGAAACTCTGACCCCAAAGCATTTACCAATTCCAGAGAGTACTACACTTCGACCCAGAAAAAAAAAATCATTTAAACATTATCCCAAAATGCATTTGCAAATTACTCTTGCCAGAGGCAAGGTTCTTGGATGCAGTCTATTAGGATCCATTTTTCCCCCTACTAGATATTACTCTTTTAAGACAGGACTGCCAAGGGCTACGCTGGGAAGTCACTAATATAATACTTTTTTAAAACATTATTATTATATTTGCCAATTTTACACCTTCAACCAAAGCCCCAAAGTTGTTGAAAGGGGACTACAATTGCAATGTTAGTTCTGAGTTTTCCTAGAATCTTGTCAGCCCAGAAGCGAATTCCACATTTCTGAAAAACCCTAAAAGTAAGCCCAGGCCCTTGGTTAAAATGACCAAGAACTTGCCTTTATTTTGTGTGACGATGAGCTTGACACCAGCATGCGTTTCAAGCCCCCAGAACAACACTCTAGAAAATGGGGTACACTCAGTACTGAGGGATTGTTTACCCAATTGCTCTGGAGCCAGCAGCAGTCAGCTTAGGTAAGCTATTCTGGATGACAGTGGCACAGTGTTCCTAATAAATTGAATCACATGGCCATACATCACTCACTAGTCTCAAGAAATAAAGCACACAACCCCTGTTGGAAAAGATGTCATCTTTTGTTAGGAGCACTGGAGGGGGGTGGGGTGGGGTGGGCTCATGCCTGGAATCCAAGCTACTCAGGAGGTTGAGATCGGAGCACCAAAGTTGGAAGCCACACTGGGCAGAAAACTCCGGGAAAATCGATCCTCAATTAACCAGCAAGAAAACTAAGATGTCATCTTTTGGGAATACCGGAGGTAGACCCGAAAGGGAACTTTGGGAACAGTTAATTGAACTTCTTGCTTTACATGATGAGAAAACTAGTCCTTGGAAGGCGCTGCCTGAGGTCCAGTGGGTGCTCCCAGCTTGTCTCCCCCATTCTCAGCCCGACTTCTGGAGCCCTGCTTCCTCCCCCCACCCCTGCCCCACTCCTTCTGCCTCCCAGATTTCAGCAATATCCAGAAATGGGGACGCAGGAGTGTGCCTAAAACATGGGAGAGAGCAACCACTAAATCAGGATCTGTTGAGACCAGAGAGACCTGCCAGGAACACCTCGTCAGTCTGGGAGACTTCTGAATTTCTAGCACCTACAGGAGTGGTTAAGTAAGCTCTAATCATTATTAAATTGGGGGGGGGGGGGAACCAATCAGCCAATCTTGGGAATGTCAGTTTTCTCTCCCACCTCTTCCAGGACTAATGACACGTGTAGGTGTGGGCTTTAAAGAGGAGATAAACCGTCGACAAAGCCTTGTAACACGGAGCCTGGCTCTTCCTAATTAATAAATGTCAGTTTTTTTTTTCTTTATTCTTCACCTAAAGTGCGGGATTCGAGGGGCGCGGGGGGAGGTGCCCTCGTGTCGCCAAGCCTGCAACGAAGCGCTGCCGAGGGAGGCGTTCGGGGTCCCGAGGAAGCGGGGGTCCGAGCGGCTGCGAAGGGAGGCTGTCGGGGTCCCGGTGCGCGCGGATCCGTTCCAGTGTCCCGCACAACGCGCGCGGCCACGCTGACCCCCCGAGGCCGGGCGCTTCTGCTGATGGGTTCTGGTTGCAGTCAGCCCTTTCACGCAACTTTTTACAGCGTCAGCTCCCCTGTCGAGGGAGGCGGGGCAGGGTGGGGCGCGCAGGGGAGCCCCGGGTGGGTTGCGCGTCCCGGGCCACCGGGCTGGACGGGTCCCGCCCCGTCGTTCCTGGCGGCTGCCCGGGTTCAAGGGCGCTTCTGGGCTGGCGGGACCGCCGGGGAGCTGGGGCGGCATCCTGGGGAGCAGCCGCTCGGGCGCGGGGTGATGCGGCCACACGCCACTAGGACCACGTGGGAGAAAAAAGTTTGCAAACTCTGCCCGTCGGCCTGGACGGCGCAAAGGCCCGCGCTTGCGCCCCGCGCCCCTGTGCTGGGGTCTCCAGACGCGCCCCTCTCGGGGGTGCGGGGGAGGCTGCCCCGCCGACCCTGCCCTGCCCCCAGCTCCTCCGGTCTCCCGTGAGGTACGCTTTGGAGCCTCGGGCGCGCTCAGGCCCGGGACGGAGAAGCAAGTGTCCCGGGGAAGGTGCGGACCGGGTAACGGGCGCGCGCCGCGGGGGGGGGGCGCCACGCACGAGTCCCGCGGGCCACCTGCGGGATCGCGGGCCGTCTCCACCTTCACGCGTCAACTCCTCCCCGCGCCGGGAGAGCCCCCCGGCCGGCGGCGCCCCCCTCCGCCCGCCCCCGAGTGCGCAGGCCCGGCCGCGCTAGCGCGCATGCCCCGGGCTCGCGAGCGCGGCCGGCCCCCAGCCTTTCGCTTTTCTACTCACTCTACAACTGGGGAGGGGGCGGGGAGGAGGGAGCGCGAGCGCCCACGTGACCCGGCCGGCCCGAGGCCGCGCGCGCCGCGCTGGGGGGATAAGCGCGTGCGCGGAGGGGGGCGTGCGTGCGGGAGCGCGCCCGCGGGCTCGGGGCGAGTGCGCGCAGGAGCTCGGAGCAAGGAGCGAGCGAGCGAGCGAACGGGCTCGGGGCGGGCGCGGCGCGGCGCCGCGGCGAGGCTGAGGCGAGGCTGAGGCGGGCGGCGGCGGTGGGCCGGCCGCGGAGGGGGCGGAGCGCGAGCTGCGCGAGGCGGGCGGAGGATGGGGCCGTGCCCGGGCTCCCGCTGCAGCCGCCCGGGGACCCTCCGTGAGCCCTCCGGCTCGGGGCTGTCGAGGTGGCGGCGGCGGCGGCAGCGTTAGCGGCGGTCAGCGCGGAGCAGAGCGGACCGGACGGCGGCCGCATCTCCCCCGGCGGGGCGGCGAGGACGCCCCGGGGGTTCGGGCGGCGGAGCTCTCCTCCCGCGTCCGCCCTCGACGGGCTGGCTCGCCCCTGCCGTCGCGCTCAGCATTGTTTGTGTTCCCCCGCGGAGCGACCTCTTCCCCGGGAGCGGGCGAGGGCGGCGGCCCCGCACCCCCGAGCCCGCCCGGCCGCCGGGGCCCGGGATGCGCCCCGCCCGGGGGCCCGGCCCTCTCCCGCGGCCCCCCGGCCTCGGCCTCCGCGGGATGCGATTCTGCACAATTCGGGAGCCGGGCCGCGAGTTTCCTGGGCGGCGGGCGTGAGAGGCGGCGGCCGGGGGTGAAGTTCACCGCCCCCCACTTTCCGGCGACCTCCGGGGGCCCCGGCCCCGCTCCGGAGAGGGGGGGGGCAGCGTTTTGCTCGGGGCGCGGGGCGGGCGCCCGAGCCTCCCGGGCTTCGGATCAAAGCATTCCGCTATTCTGATTTATCGCCTGCCGGCTGAGTTGTTCCTTCTCTCCGCGAAGGAGCCCGGTGTGTTCAGCCATTACTTCGCGCGGCGCCGCTCCCGGCGTCCCCGACCCGGCGCTCGCGGCGCCCGCACTTGGGCTCCGCGCCCGCCGCCCCTTCCCCCTCTCTTTCTCCTCTCTTTCTTCCCTCCTCCGGCCGCCGTCTCCCCGCGCCCGGCCGGGCGGGGGGCGCTGGGCAGGCCGCCCGCCGGAGGGCGAGGGCTCGGTGTCAATTTTTCCCCCCGGTTTTTTTTTTTTTTGTGTGTGTGTGTGTGTGTGGCCGCGGCGGGCGGGCGGCCAGCGGGGACACCCCAGCGAGGGACAGCCATGGATGGCCCGACTCGGGGCCATGGACTCCGCAAAAAGCGGCGGTCGCGATCGCAGCGAGACCGGGAGAGGCGCTCCCGGGGCGGACTGGGGGGCGGCGCGGCCGGCGCTGGCGGGGCCGGCCGGACCCGGGCGCCCTCGCTCGCCTCCTCGTCGGGCTCCGACAAGGAAGACAATGGAAAGCCCCCGTCCTCCGCCCCGTCCCGGCCCAGACCCCCGCGGAGGAAGCGGAGGGAGTCCACCTCGGCCGAAGAGGACATCATTGATGGATTTGCCATGACCAGCTTTGTCACTTTTGAAGCGCTGGAGGTAAGGGGGAACCCCCTGCCCGCCCTCCCTGCCCTCCCCGCCCCCCGCCTCCCCTCCACGCACGACCCCGCTCCGCCGTGCCCTGCGCCCCATCCTCCCTCGCCGCCGCGCGCGGGGCCGTCTGTCTTGTCTGTGTGTCTGTCTCGGCTGAGGTCTTATTGTTGGAGGGGAGCTGGGGGCGCGGGCAGGCAGGCGGCAGGAGGGACTCGCCGAGCCGTGCCTGGTCGCTGGCCTCTCCCCGCGCCCCTTCCGAGCACCCCTTCCGCAGCAGATGGGCAGAAAAAGGGGTTCGGGCATCACAACAATGCGCCCCCCTCTCCGGCGAGAGCTCTGCCCCCTACTCCTTCCTCCTCTCCCTCCCCAATCATGGCTTCTTCGCTGGTGGAAGTCTCTTTGCTGGTTTGGGGCGCTTGTGGACGGATCTGTGTGTGCTTTCTCCCGAGCCATATGTCCCTGTGTGTCTGGCTAGTAGATACCTTGCCTCGGTGTCCTGGGGACCAGAGGCTGATGGGGTTTGGTGGTTTCTTTGACCCACCCCCACCCCCACCTTTTTTTTTTTTTTTTGGTGAATCTGGGGAAGGGGGCGTTTTCTCTTGGTTGGGAGAAAGGAGGGAGGAGGGGAGAGAAGACGAAAGGATGGAATATTTTTCTGCGTGGGGCTCTAATGCAGAAAGGGTTAATTATATTATCTATATCTATATATACATATGCACGTGTGTGTGTGTGTGTGTGTGTGTGTGTGTGCAGGAACAATTTAGTTGAAGGACAGAAAAAGGGACACCAGGGAGGATTGGTGGGAGGAAAGAAAATCCTAGCTGGAAGCTGAAGGGCTTGTCACCAATTGTCCCTTTCCCCTTTCTTGTGTGTGCGCGCTCTCTCTATTTCTCTCTCTCTCTCTCTCTCTCTCTCTCTCTCTCTCTCTCTCTCTCTCTCTCTGTGTGTGTGTAAGTGATAGGCTTTGTGTGTATATGTGTGTCTTTATTGCTCAGGCACCTGCAGGCAGCTTTGATTTTAAAATGCACATTTTCCTGCCTGCTAAGAGGCTCCTAGGTGGGTGGGTGGGTGGAGGCTGTTGGGAGGAGGGAAGCAGAAGGAGACAGTCCAGTGGTCACAGGAAACTATCTTTGCTGAACATATCTGATTTGATTCTGGCATTGGTCATTGGCCTCCATAAATTTAGCTGCCTTCTTTCTTACCCCTACTGCTTCCCCACCCCCAGCACACACCACCACCAACACCACCACAACAGGAAGGCCTTGAGATTCTTTAGAGTGGGTCCAGCTTTCTTAGGCACAGAACCAAAAGAGGAATTGGTCTATAGCCTGTCCTACACTTGATGTGATGGTTTGAGGTTCCTGAATGAAACTTTTCCCTTTTGGCTTATTTAATTTTTTTTTTTTTTTTTTTTTTTGCTGTTACTATGGCATTGTTTCAGATGTGCAAGCTTTGTTAATGAAAGCTGAACTTGCACATACAGTGACTGCACAGGCTTAGGTTACTGCTTCTGTGTCTGTGTTTGGGTGTCAGGCTTAAATATTTGGAAAGAGGCTCTTCTGTGAACTGCTTTTGGCTGTGGTGATGGAATGAATGGTGGTGGGTGGTGACCAGTGATTGGGAGAAAGGGAGGGTGATGGTGGTGGTTGGTAAGAAATTTCCATTAGTGGTTGAGTTACCCTTGGGTTCTAGCATGGTGATGACTGGCTAAAATGAAGAGGGTTGAGGCTTAACCACTTAGGAGGATTCTAAATAAAGCTTTAGCTCTGTCAAGGTAGATGGGTTTAGGGAACTGTGACCTCTTCCTCTGTCTTTCTCTCTTGCTTTAAAATAGGATCGAAATGGCAGCATGAATTGTAAGTGAAAACATGGCCTAGAATTTGGGGCACTGTTGCTATCTGTGATTGGCTTAGGAAAGTACTTGAAAGAGTTGGTTACAAGTGGTTGTGTTTCCTGTGTGCTTGTCTTCTGTGCTTGGTGGCCCACTGAGCAAGAGGGGCCTCTGGATTCCTGTGGTTGGTTCTGAACTCTAGGCAGAGATTGATATAACTTCATGCAATTTAAAAACTATCTTGTGTAACTAGATGAGTAGGCTTGTGATTTTCTTACAGCTTCACATTTGACTTTTGGGAGAAGATGTGTCCATTCTTTGTTTTGAGCTTAAAAACTTTTAATTTTTACAAAAATCAAATTCAAAATGTATCATTACTGCCATTTCTTCCCTTGCTCGAATTTTTTTTTCTACTACTTTTCTACATTCAAGACCCAGGTTACTTGGTTAGCTGACAGCTATCCTGCCTTCATATCTAAATGTCATGCCATGTCTCTGTGTGGTCTGATTTTAAAAAATTATTTTATAGAAAATGTAAGTATATCCAAAACGTAGACAAACTGTATTGAACCTCAGTATACCTAACACCCAGGCTCGACCACTGTCAACCTACATCTTGTTTCTCTTCTATTTTCATTTTCCCTTTCATGTCTACTATAATGTCACCTGCTAATATTTACATATAAATTTTTTCATTATAATGCTCAAAACCTCCAACCCCTCCAGAGACCATTCTCTTTTCCACATGGACAACAGTTTCCTAATATGACAGTGTTCACATCTTCAGAAGCCCACATTTTGAGGAAACTTGTGAACAAATCAATTTTCATATTGAAAACACATCAGGGGAATCAAAAAATCATACCCGTCAGGTTCCTTGATAAGAGGCTGTTTGTTATCATGTGGTTTTGACATTGGATGGACAGAACATATGTGGGATGTATATAGTGTATAGTGATCATTAAGGCAAAACCTCTTATGATACCCCTGTACCCAGTTGGAAAGATTTACTGAATTATCATCAAGAATTATTAGGAAACAGGCAGCTAAATAATAAGCCTGCATAGAGATGTGTGTTGAGTATGTTTGTAAATGTTAAGAATCATTTACAGATGCTAAGAGTTACCTTGAGTATATGCATTTTTGTGCTTTGTGTTTAGAAATAAAAATAATTGCCACTGTATAGCATCAAGGTTGCTGCTGGTATGATAGGAGGAGAAACCAGAAACACTGGCTTTCCCCGTGAGGCTTATCGCTATTCCAGTGTAGAGTAGTAGCTAGTAGACCTTGGACCAGCATGCTTTGGGAGTTACTAGACATATTTACCCCCATGATTTTATCCAGTCTGGGTACCTGAATTGGGGCTTTCTTCCAAGAAAGAGGCTCCTAACTTCTAATGAACTATGTTACTATACAAATGTCAGTCCAGCTCTAGTTTCATAGATACTGGAGTAAAAGTAGTAACTGTGTCTAATAAGAGCCTGCATTTTAAAATGTGGGTTATTTTCCACTGTTGTTGGATTTTTGTTTAAGATGATGGAAGCTTTGAGGGCATTCTGGCAGGTCCTACACTTCATAGGCTGTGGAACTGGCTGAGATAGTTTCCTATTCTACAGGGACACTTATCTTGAGTAATTGTGCCCTGAAGTTCAAGTGTGTGATTATGGAGAGTCTCATGATAGAAGATAAGAGGGTAGGTGAGGAGGCTAAAGTTGAATGAGGTGTTCTTTTCATTATGGAATTGAGAAGCAGAATTACCATGGATGTAGTATTGTGCATTTGTATAATCTTTCAATGACAGGATGAGAGCAAATACCGCCCTTCCCCCCAAATCATGTATAGTTAAAGACAAACAAACACACACCAATGTGGCTTCTAGCAAGCAAAGTATAAACGGGGACTGTTGGAATTTTAGTACCATCTGTATATCCTGAGGTACCAGATAATGTGCCATTCTGGTTCTTGAGTTTCTGTTTCTGTTAGGAAGCCATGTGAGTGTTCAAGGGTGCAAATCCCTCCTACCCCCCCTCCCCCCAATTCATAATGCTGTTATGCATTGGTTCCTGGGGGATCTTCCTTTAGTGCAGAACACTAAGGGAAGTGGAGATGGAATTGGTGAGATTAACACACATGAAGTTACTTCTGGTAGAGGGTCAGAATGAGACTCTCATGTGGTCTTATTTCTTTACTCCTTCAGGGCTTACCCATGCATCACTAGATGTAAGTAGGTTGTACGAAATCTGATGTGCTGTTAGTATGCCATGTTAGTAGACTCTAATAAGTAGACAGTACAAAATCTGATAAACTGATGCATGCCATGTTAGTAGGCTCAAATAATTGATGATGTCCAGATCTCACTTATCACTTGTTTGAAAACCAACATTTATCATGTTCCTTGTATCAATCAGCAAATATTGATGGAGTGCTTAGTATGTGCAAGGCCCCAGGACAGAGAAATGTAAAATATATGTAGCATGTGAACAGTTGCTAAATCCAGCACCTGTAAAATAAATCTGAGACAGACATTTGAATATCTGATAATAGCCAAGTGCATCAAGCAGTCAGAGAGGGTGGTGAGCTCTAGGCAGTGTTGGATGGCTCCAGAGGGTAGGCTAGGTAGGATTGGGAGACACAGAGTACATTCTAAAGGAATATTGAAGAAGGCAAAGGTACAAGACCAGTGAGAAGGTGTTATGTGATTAGGATTTGGGGGCAGGAAAGGGCTGGTAGAAATGAATACCGAAGTAGGTAATTCATCCCTATTAGAGGATCAGGAGGGCTGTAGATACCTGTGGACCAGGCTTGTTCCTTCTAACAAATTATGTGACCTTCCTTGGGCAATTGTTCTCTGGAAACATCATTGGTAGAGAAATTTAGACTAGTTTAGAGCAGATGTTTTCAAGCTGGAAGGGGATGAGCTTTGCAGGATGTGCATGGGTTGTGTTCCACACCAAAATAGAGTGATCTACCCTCAAATAGAGTTTGGAGCTCAATGGGTTAGACAACTGTCTCTTTCTGCCAGAATTAAAGTCTCTATTACGTTAATGGAAATTGTGGATATCAGAAAAGGCAGTTTAGTTGTCACAGGGCACTTGTCAGCATTGCATTCAGAATCCACTGTGGAAAACGCTGCCCAGGATTTCACACAGGTCACTGCAGGTCTGACCCTTGGTGG